TTTTATTTTTTTTTTATCACTGCTGTCCCTGTGTTTGATTGATCTAGAGGGCAATATGTTACCAGAAGTCGGTGTCTTTTTAAAAAGAATTTGAATCCATTGTTCTGTGTACAATAAACTTGGTATAGAATACTGTATACATAAGGATTACAGTATCAGCTGTGTATAGACAAATTTAATACAAACCTCAAGTGGACAGGCTAATTTAGCCCTGCAAATAATCTAGCAATTTATTATTCCTCATTTCTTTTCTTTCAGGGATTTCGTGTAGCATACGTAACCTACGAAGACCCAGGTTCATTAGAACGATTAAACAAGATGAATTTCAAAGAGCCAAAATTTCTCTCTACTCCGTCATCTCCAATAGCTACCGGCCTTGAAAGTATGTATAAATGTTTGGTCATCGATTGGTACTTTATATCAATTTTTAAAACTTTCATAAGAGGAAATATTAATGCAACCTGTCACTAGTCATTGAAATCAATATATTTTCTCATTAGCGAGATATAAACTTTTTCTGGTAAGCGTGATATGGCTGTAATATGCGGTTTACAAATAAACAGCCATTAGCATTACCATTATAAATAAGGCTGTAAATGGAATAAAAACCTATCAGTATTTTTTTATTATTATTTTAAATTTTTTTTTGTATGTATTTCACTGCAGATCAATCTTAATGTTATGTAATTATTTCTACATAAACAAAATTTAAAAAGGCATGTTGGCTATTAACATTAGTCTTAATTGTATACGAATTCTGATTGGGTATTATTGCCTTTAATCCAATTCATACATACAAAAACATCGAATTGAATTAGGAAATTGACTAGTGTAACAATAGGTGTTTCTTATTTAAAAACCTGAATATTTATGAGAGCTCCAGGATACGAGTGCCTGTTTGAGTGTCCCATCTTGCGGTACAGCATAATAAATTACGATATAGAATACATAAATCTAAATTCCAATAGTATGTAACATTATAATGTCGGTTTTTAGTCTCACCAAAATGGCAGTGTATATTTTTTCATTGATAATAGCATGCAGCACTCGAAAAAGAGGGTAATCAAGCAAGTAAAGAATATATGAACAAGTTGAAAAAGAAAGGCTATAGGCTCACAGGTTGAATTTCCCGTCTCCGTTTCTTTGGTGTTTTGGCCAGAGTGTGCAGTGCTTTTTGCCATGCTCCAACCCAACACCAGTCCAGTCATGAATTCCCCGAAGAGGGGTCCAAGCTCTCCGACAAGGGGTACCAGCCCCCTGTCAGGGAAAAACTGGTGCACCATTGCAGCCCTTTTGATTGCAGTAATATACATGACCTTGCACATACGGTAGCACTGCTTGCACTAAACTGTTTGTAATCCCTACAATTTGACAGCTTAGTAGGGCATGCTTGAATTGTACTTTCGGCGCTCAAGATTTGATTTTGCCCCGACGACCTTGCTGGAAATTCCCTGACAGGGGTTTCAAGCAGAGGGTCCAGAGGTCCCCGACAGGGTTTCCTTTGTCACCATGGACCCCCGCTAGCACCGCCCCTTTTGCACAGTGAAGGTTTCGAAACCATAACCTCAAGGTAAAAAATCCAAGTCGCAACTGCTTCCACAAAGCATTAATGGAGGAAATATTTAATTGAGCGCCGATTGAAACCAGAGTAGAGGAATTGAATGTGAAAAGCTATACACAATTTGTGTCATTATTTGAAACGTTAGATCAGTACAGTTATATCCTATTAAAGTTACGTATACTGTAGCTCTTTTGCAATGGGTACCCTATCCTATTACCAGACATTAACTACTTAAGTGTCCGCTACAGGGGCAGCGGATAGTAATTAGTTAAAAACACTTGACCGTTGCTACGTGATTTTCTGCGTGTACTTAGCTAATCGCATCCTCGCTTTACACTCTTTAAGTACGCCTCGCAGATTATCTTCTCGCAAATTGGATCAAAAGCCTTCATCATTGCTCAATTACACTGATTATATATACACAGCGAAAACCATGTGTGCAGGCTGTTAATTACTAGCTCCTTAACAAGTCTTTCCACATGGGAAATTAAGCACTGATGGATGGTTATTTTTCTACATTCTATCTTCATACTAACTGGTGGTGTTATGACGATAAGAATCTGTTTATATTAGTCTGGGTCAAGCTGAAGTAAATTCTGATCTTATCTGCAATTAATTTAAAATATAAATACATTTTTTGTCAAGAAAAACCAGTTCATAGAATTGATTTAAGTGTTTCCATATGTAGTGCTAAGCTTTCCAAATTTGTAGTAAAATATCTGTAAATCATTAAAAACTTTTTTTTTCTTTTCTCCCCCTCCCATTCCCCCTTCCAATCCCTGAATGTACAGGGAGGTGGTATATAGTATATCCTAGAGCTACCACTGGATAGAACTGCAATAGATTTTTGGATACGCTTACTAAGGACCAGTGTGGGGCAACAACAGGGGGTATGAGCGCCCATCGGGCAGACCGGTACCCTCTGTTTAATTTGAATTTGCCAATCCAAGATGTTATTTGATTGCCAATCCCTAATATTATAGTCAAAGCACAATTTTGGGCCATACTAAGCCATAAAAACTTTCCCCATGCATCCTATCAGAAATTGTTTATTCTGGGACTGGGACACTGACTGAGGCTTCAGTTGGCCCTTTGGTTCGGACCCTGATGTCGGACATGCCGGACCCCTTGTTGGCAAATTTCTGGAGCCATCGCTTACTAAAGGACACCAACAAATGTAGTATCAAAAGAATATTAAATAACAATATGAATGGGATACCAAAATTAACATGGATTAGACAGATCAAAACAAACGTGCACAACATTGTAAATTTTAGATTGGACACATACCCTGCAAATGATGGAGATAATTGGGACAACATATTGCAGGAAGGTCTTTATGGTGATTAGGATAATTAGCTCATTCAAAGAAATTAATACTGCATCCATAAGACTTAATAACAGGCCATTCAAGGTTAAGCACTAAAAGTTTCGTTATAATTATTATTATTACTATTAATATTAGCCCCTAGGATTGGCGGATACAGATCTGTGGTCTTTAGTAATACTGTTGTACTATTATATTGCATGATTTGTAGTTGGTGGTTTTACTAATAGTAGGCCTAGATGTAACAGTCATTATAATAGAAGGTTAGACTTGTAGAGCATAATGCCTATAAAGGCCTTTATGTATTTTATATTACTATGAAACCCATACTCAGTTCTTCCCTGGGGGAATATCCCTTAATGTTGCGTTGCTTGCAGCTAGTAATTAGTGTGTTGGAATTCAAACTGACTAGGTAACCACACTCTGGTGGAGAGAGGAAAACGTGTTTTATCTATGGAGAAAAACAAGAGGTCAGACTAGGTCGAACTGATCTTTAGAGTTGATAATTACTCTGCTATTTTGATAACTAGGACGTAACAAAACAGTGGAAAAATTTCACTAGATGATTTCAAAGAATGTGTATATTTTATTGCATTTTAAGAAGTGACCTATGGTTCAATGAGGCAATATCCAACGATAAGGATGACTTACTGTATTCCCTGTTGACCGTTACTGTTTGCTCTATGCTTCATATTTTATGTATCGTAGTCATCAACTAGCATCGGAAAAAACAACATCAGTCTCAGGTTTTAACCCGCCCAAGGTCCGATAAGGATTAGACATCGGAAAAATGGCGAAAATTACCTTCTTACGCATGATGTCATTAACACATTTAGATGTGGAAAACTGTTGATGATGATGTCTTTACGAGTTCAAGCTAAGAAATGTATTTGTTGACAGGAACTGAAAGTGGCTTAAGATTTAGGTAAAATAGGTTGATAAACGTTTAATAGCTGTCGCGGTAATCGTATAATAAAAGAGTCGTGCAGTTTGTTTATCGTCATTGTCTCTTATAATATACAGTTCTTAAAGTTTTATGATACATTCTATGTCAAATTATGCTTATTATTTATATGATGCTTTTAGCTAAATTAAAAAAAAAATTATGGTAATACTAAAGTATTAGGTATAATAATAAACTTACTACTTCATGGCATAATGATATGGATATATATGTGAAAATAAACTATAAATGCTCCTCAAAGTAAAATGTTGTACCCTAAAGGCTGTGAAATTGAAGAATGGATTACAAAGGAACAATTCCACATTATTATCATACGAACGGTAAGCTATTACCGACAGAAAATACATGCAATACAGATACGGTTGAGATGTTACAAACTACAGTTTTATAAAACACTGCATAAAAATTCTTGTCTTTAAGATGTATTGTGTTCCTTGCAAAATACAGAAAAGATATAATAAAAATCATTTTTTAAATTAAATTGCTCATTTTGAAGTAGCATGAAATGACCAACTTTAATATAGAAATTAGTGTATATAAAAAATGTTTACCCATTATTTTACAGCGAAAAATGATAGAAAAACTTTCAGTCACAAATCCAGTATAAAAATCAGGGTACACATTTTGTTATAATTCTATCATTTTTATGCTCAAGTTAATACTTTGTATGTTACTGTTAAGTTAATTTTTAAATTATTTTTATGTTTTTTTGGTTTTTTTTCAATTTCAGGGGACAATATATCTTTAAGAGTACAGTAATGAAACACATAATTTAAATTACAGTATGGAATAACAAAATCAGCTATATCTAATAAATTCAGAGATTGTGTTTTTCTGTAAGCGCCATATTTTACGAGCATTAATAATATCTACATCATTTTTTATAGTGTTTATGTAGAAGTAGGTCAAAATAGCAGCATACACCTTGCAATCAAAATGACAATGCAGACACAACAAACAATGCTCCACCTGTTTTATAAAATATTTATACAATACGAACAGGTTTTGTTCCGATGAAATTGTTTAATAAACTTGCCAAATATAATATTTTAATTACTTGTGTTGATTAGTTTCCTATAGAAAATTACAACTTTTTTTTTCTCACTGAACAGATGGATATTAAAGTAATGCAATTTATATATTGCCTGCGTGTAGAATTGGTAAACAATTTTTTTTAGTAATCAGTAAATTGGCAAAAAACATTGAATAGTTGATATTATATTTTGATCCTTTGAAGTTAGTAATTCATTGTTTTTTTGCCAGAGTTAACATAGTGTATTATATTTTAGGACTAATATCAGAATGATGAAACTAAAAGCTCACATTGAAACAAAAAATAACATCAGTATAAAATATAGGAACATCTCAATTCTACATTTAAAATCTAATTTACAAACAGTATATAATTCTAGCAAAAACATATATCAACAAGAATTACGATTGGTGGGGTAGCAGGAGTGGTAAAAAGGATATAGCAATAATACACCATTTATTATATTATTATAATTGCACATTTATAATTCTTTTATA